TATAGAAACATACTAAGCAGCTATACCACGTGTCTGATTCTTTCCCAACATGCAGAAACTGCTGCTGTGTGCCCTGGGATTTACTGGCAGTGCTGCCAGTGCATCTCATTGCTGGTGTCTAGGACTGTCTGTGCTGTAGTGACACTGGTGACTAATGTGGTTTGCTCAAGTTGGCTCAGACACTGGTCTTAGTCAACTAATGCAGCAGAAAGCAGCTAACCCAGTCACTGGATTTTGTAGCCCACCAGAAATTCCGGGTTGCTGGCCCATTTGGGTTGCTGCTTGCAGCTGTGTGCTGGAACCATCTACTTTTAAGTTTGCTTATATGAGGGACCCTGTGTGCCTTTGTTTATCAGTTTCTGAGCAAAGGTGTCCAAATGTCTGAGTTTAGAAACCATCAGCCTCTGTCTTGAGTTTTTTGTTCAGCTCGAATGGTTTCCCAGAGCAAAACCTAAAAAGAAGATCTTGCTCTTAACTCCATCTGGAATTGCTGTTCTTCCCAGTAAAGCTAAGTGATGGTGTGTTACTCACTGTGGAGTTACTGGTTTTGCACTAGGCTAAAGAGCTGCCAATTCCTGAAGCATTTAAGTTGTATCTTTGCTTGGGTAGTCTGATCTTCAGCTGGGTGGAAGGACCAGCAAATGCATAGACCTCTTCCAGCTTTCCCTTGCTTTCCAATACTGAGTCTATAATTCTTTCAAAAAGGGAACCTGTCAGCAGCACCTAAGTAGTAGCTGTAGTGCTGTTTGAAACCTTCTGTCTCTGAGCCTGTATCCTGATGATACATCCTTAATTGCTTTTTGCAGTGAGTTTGGGTGTTTGTCTTCAGAAACTGTGTTGCTTCTTGATTAAGTGATGGACATCTAGACCAGCACTTTTCTTACTAGTGCAGTGCTTATGATAGAAATTCTCAAAGAAACTTGCTTTAACCTCCCAGACACTTCATACTTCTTCATGGGGTTTATATCCATGTAGGAATGAATTTGCCAAGATAAATGAATGCAGTGATTGACTGAAGCAGCTGTTACCTGCTGCTATTGAACAGTTAGGAGAGGGTTAAGAAGAAAACCTCTTCTGAGCCACTAGATTGGCCCTGACTAAGATGAATGTCTAATTCACTCCCAGCGTCCTTACTGCTGCCAGTAATAAAAAGCTTGCTTCACATATTCACCCCACTGCAGACGTTTCTCTTAAATTAAATATCAAGAGGACATATAATAGCACGATTCCATGCCAAGCCAATATTATCAGATTGATGTCAGCAGTGATAATAGAAGAAGGATAAGTTGATGAGATTTCATTTATTAAATAAAGTAAAGGGAATATGCAGTGATAGAAAGGATTTGGTAACTCTCGGTGTCAAAATGCAGCAAGATTGTGCTCATTCTGTCTTACCTCAAGGAATAGTAGGGAGAAGAATGCCCTTTGTTTCATTTTAAGAAAACCTCTCCCTTCTTTTCCAGACAAAGATTTAAATCCCTCCATGGGAGAGGGAGAGAAAGTTCTGAAATCATGTATTTCATGTGTATGTAGCCTTCCTGCCCATTGCACAGTGGCAAGGCAAAGGTTTCTTTCCTCTCTGTTATAGGGGAGGCACTGCTAATGAATCTTATTTCTAAATCCATCTTTTCCTTTTTCCAACCTGTCATCCTTTCTCCTTTTCTCCTCCTTTAAACAGATGACTGTATGTTACTGATTTATCTTTCATATTCTGTATGTCCTGCATGTATTTATTTCCAAGGTATTGTCAGAGCTTGTCTTCTGTACTTCCTTCTGCAGATATTGTACTATCACTTCCCAGCCCAGCCTTTCTCTCCTGCCTTTTTCCAGCTGCTGTAAATGTGCCTCTTACACCTGTTTTGATAATAGTTATAACAGTTGCAACATACTTTATTTTAGGCAGAGGCCAACTGTCTACCTCATTTGGTGGTGACATGTGCTTAAAACTTTCACCCACTTTAGGAGAAAGGTCAAAGCACAAAAGTCTTCTGCTAGCTGTATATGCAAACCTCATCACTTTTCCACCTTTTCCTTCTCTCTCATATGAGAAATAATAGCAAAAACCCTCATGACACATGAGGAGCAGTGTGGTCGGGTATCCAGAAGACAAATTTTTCTAAAGATTAGTTAATGCCAACAGCCTTGAGCTAGGCTAAGAGTGAAGGGAGATAGCTGAGGAAAGTCCACCTCCTTTGGAACTCAACCCACAATGTCATTGCATTCTACAGATGTGTTTGTATTTGGATGCTGCTGCTTTAGTTCCTTTTTGTCTCAGATATGTACAAGGAAAGCCAGACACCCGTAAGGTGCAGCTGTTGTATGTATATAGGGCTGCAGTTCCCCCAGTGTGGAAATGTTGCAGCCTGAAGCTGAGACAATGTGAGCAGGAGAGTGGCACCCCCTTGATTCAGACTGGGCAGGCATTGTGATTGCTGTGCAGGGAGGAAAACATCTCAGGCAACTCTTCACCAGAGCACTTCAGGTGCCTCTTTCCAGTCCAGATGGGTACCAGAACTAATCTGCTGGATGTGGATAACTTGTGTACTCCCAGATTCCACAGTAACTTGTATTGATAATTACCTAAGCCAGCTTTGATTAGCGTCTCTAAATCTGTTTTGGGAAGCTGGTGCAATTGATGCATAACCACAGCTTGAGGTTTTATTTTGAAGAAATAAAGGGGAATAATCTTGTTATGATTTTGGGTACACAGTACCAAATAAATCCTCCCTGTGTTGTGGGAAGTCGTGTGTAGGAATGCTGGTTTAAATACTTGCTGGGCAATGCATACTGGTCTGTGCTGATTGATCCTCTGCCTCTGGTAGGCTTTAGCCAACAATACTCTTTTTTGTGGCTTCTTGCTCACCACTGTGTGGCTTTTAAATAGCCCTGTGTGCTGAGCACCAAGGGGTCTGTTAAGGAAGAGGGCCACCGACTTTGCAGCACTGTCTGAGCCCACAGGTGGGTCCTAACTTCATATTTATTCTAGGCAGTGAAGACTGATGCAATAGGAAGGACAGTGATATAAAGCAAAACACAATTTCTGTAGCTCTACCTGCTGACAATGACAACCCTTAAATATCTCTGTGATGTTTGTACCATATTGTTCAGTTCAGATGAATACAAACTGGTTTGTGGTATGCTGTACCTTTTAGCTCTTCCAGGTTTCTATAAGAAAATTACAAAATGCCCTTCAGTTTAACATCACTGAGTTTAAAAAAACTAATTTTAAAAGTCTTAACTTTTTCAATGAATTGAGGGATTTGGTGGTATTTCCTGACCTGGTATTGTTTGGTATCATTTCTACAGTCTCACTGATTTGATTAGAGTGATATTAAAGTTAGTGACAAAGCAAAATGCCAACATTATGAGTTTCTGAAGCTCTCTCTAGGTTCTTTTCTATCCCAAAATTTGAAGATTTTTTTAGAATATGGATTTTAGAGGCTTTAAAGGTGATTTGCTATATAACATAGAAATTAGAAATGAACACTAGTCCTTAGGGACTGTGCATGGAATAAGTTTCTTCTAAAAGGTGTAAGATTAGTGAAGAGGTAGAAAAAGAAGTCTGTATAGTATCTTTGTTGGTTTCTGATCCAAATCTCAGTGTTGTAGAGTGTGGCTGTCATACTGATAAATTCCTACTCTGTCAATGTATGTTGACATTAAGACTGAGGACTGAAGAAGTATCAGTTAGAGTATATCTCAACCAAATTATTGTGAGAGTGCACCCAGGTTGCTGATATAGAAAAGACAAAATTGTTCTTTTGGTCCTTCCACTTCTTTCCTGAGCACCTTACACAGATGTGCATGATTTGGAAACTCGTATCTGAGCTCTCCAAACGCTTTTAGAAGATCTTGCTTTAAGATTTCCCGTTTCTTAGAAATCTGCTTCATCTGAGACACTGTGACATGCCCAGAGACAGGTCATGTTTTCCCTCTCTCTGGCTTGCTATGAAGCCCTTTTGCTGAATGAATGCCTGTTGTTACTGTGGAAATGAATACATCATAGCATGGTATTAATATCTGCCTGTAGCATCAAGTGCTTTGGAATGAAGAGGTGTGTTTGATATTTGGGCACAGATCTCGAAGCATATTGGGGCAGGAAATGCAAGGAATTAAATGGATTTATGGTTTAGGAGATGACATCTGAGGATTGCTACACCTAAGCATATGTTCTCTTATTCTCTGATAAAACATACCATGGCCATGGTGCTGTGAATGCCTGCAATTTGTGTCTGCCTGTCTGTGCAGCTGATGTCACTGTTGTTACTGTGTTTGTGCCATTGTTGCTGGGATTGTTTTACAACGACCTTCCCCTTTATTGGTACTGTTGCTGATGATGTGCCATATGTACACATGCACATTAGAGTAAAAGAACATCATCCTTAATTGTTCTTGGGTAGCTGTCAATGCCATTTACAGAGTATGAGTACTAATTTATGCAGAAATACAAAGAAACAGATATCTGGTCTTGCTATTATTCTGGTTTTTTCTAGTCACTAGGAGAATTGCAGTGCTTCCAACCATGCTGGATTTCTTTTAGTGTTTAAATAGATGAGAATTCAATAGATGGAGGTGGCTTATTCAACAAGTCTGTTCAGTTCCTTGTCAGACTGTTACAGATCTAGTGCAGGCCCAGCCAGGATTCTTGAGTTCTGCCAAAGATTCCCAGTGTGAGTTGAGAAAATCATTGAAACTCTTGGACTTGGGGAATTTTTTCCTCCTGACTGCAGAGGAGAGATGATGTTTTATGTAAGGGTGAAACAGCCTTCTACACCAGCTAAGAAAAATGATGTTACTTCTTTCTGCTAAGTACCCTGGATTTTTCAACTGAAAGACACTGTTGGTCATTTGACCCACTTTGGTGATTGCTGCTCCCACCAGTTTCTCTATTAGTACTACATGACTCCAGCATAAAATTAATATCTGTATTGCTAGCCAAGTGGTAGTAAGTGGTTGAAAACTCCTCTTCACATATCATTCTGTGCTTGTTTTCCCTGCAGGAGGAGGAACGCTGATCCTATCTGTGCAAACCTGCAGTCTGAAATTCTGAAGTGCTTCCGAGAAAACAAACATGAAGTGCTCAATTGCTCGGAGCTGGCGAAGGAATATCAGCGCTGTGTTAGTGCAGCTCAGAAGGTAACAAAAGCTTCTCTGTTGTACTGGCTGGCCTTGCTGTCTTGTTTTGCATGGTGCTTTCTTCTGAGAAGTGTTTTTGAGAGCTGTGGTATCTGTTAGTCAAATTGCAATCTTCATAGGAGACAAATCTTCCTTGGGATTAATTTTCCCACATTCATTCCACCTTTCCCAGTCACACTGTGGTATGTCCCACCTTCACTCCTGTCTGTGGGTCCTATTGTACTGAGCTGCCACCAAAACAGTAGAACCAATGCTCCCAGGCTTCAAAGTCAGTCAATGATTTTCCCTAGTTTTACCTGCAAACAGTATGTAAATCCATTTTGGCAATGTTTGTCACATTTTCAACAGGCTCTAAACATCTCCTGTTTTAGGACTCTTCAGTTGGAGGTTTTGCTTCTTTTCATTCTAGCATGGGGAAAGGTTCTGTGCTGGGCAAAACTGCTGTCTGTTAAGAAAATTCCACACTCCTAAAAACTCTTCATCTTGTGTGGGAGGCCAGGAAGCCTTATGGCTCTTCCTTCTGAGATGCAGAGTCCCAATAGGTTCTGTTGATGCCTTAGGACAGTGGCTGCTCAATACCTTGGAAGAATTTCTGACTATTGAAATAAGTGAAGGGGAAAAGAAAATGAAGTATTTGGACATTGCAACTAGGATATGGTCCTGGGCCATGCGAGAATTCGGTGGGTCAGGTGTCCCCCAAGGGCAGACTTTTCTGTTTTGTTTTTTTGGGGTTTTTTTGTTGGTAGAAAATTCTCCAAAAGGTGCTAAGAATATAGTAAAGAGGATGTATGGAAAAGGATGGTAATAGAAAATTGAGACTTCTCTCATGGGATTGCTTAAGCAAAGGGTGGGGGAGAGGTGGATATTTCATGGAAGCAGGCTTTCTCTGCATTAGCATTGTGAGAGGAAGCTGTATGCCTGATTTAAGTATAACATGAAACAAGCTGCCAGCCGGCTCCCAGAAGAAGCCCGACAGAAGGAGATGGGAAAATTGTCAGGATATATTAGACCAAATGTTGTTGCTAGTCCTAGTGGAATTTTTTTCCTTCCTGTTTACAAAGAAGGTCTTTGTATGTCTGCAAATCAGCAAGGTTAAAGCTGCCAGGGAAAGGGCTTTTCTCTGATATCTCTAAAGTCCCCAGTTCCCAAAACATGCGGTTGCTTTTTCTTCCTCAGCTTTAAAGTGGTGCCTGTGCTGCTGCTGCACAATCCGTGCCCCTGGTTGCTGTTAGCAGAGCATTGGTGCATCTATTGCCAGCCTCTGTTATCCTCCTTGCCTCCTCTAAATCAGGCTTGTAGCCTTTTCAGTGGAGTATATCTTTAGCAAATGCATTTACCAATACATCTTTATTGCATGCAGTGCGGGTGGAATGTGATTACCAAAGAAGACAGATTGCATTAAACTTCAGCATATTTGCAAGCTGCGGCTCCAACCCGCCTGAGAAAGGGGCTGGGATGCTGCCAGCCCTGAGCCCCAGTCCAGCATTATTAAAGAGAAAATTGGAAGCTAAATGAGTGGTAACAGCAGAGGGCAGTGAAAGATACTAGTAACTTGGGTCTTTTTTTGGAGTTGGTGGAGGTTTTTGTAGGTTTTCTTTATAAACCAAAAACTAAAGGTTATCTGATTGTTTTCGTTCCCAGAGTCTTCAATGAACTTCAGGATTTTTTTCCCAACTATTATTAGAAACTACCTGGAAGGAGAAATGCATAGGACATGAATTTGTTGTGGGTGATGACAATGTGGCAGAAAATCTTGCTACGTTTTAATATGTAGTTTGAGAGACTAAGGAATAGGTAACTAACACCTTGCAGCTAGAGATAGACACTAGAGGTACTTTGTACTTCTGCAAGTACAAATTCAAATACAACTTTTGTAAGGCAATATGTCTTCTGTAGTTTCCTTTTGTCCCAGGAGAGCTCAAGCCCTGACAATTTGCCTCACTGCTCTTACTGACTCTTCTGACTCCTGAGATACATGTAGCAATCACAAGCTGTTGTTTTATCTTGTAGAATTAAAACTCCCTCCTCCCTTCCCCTTTTTAAGCTGTTATTTTTCTCTAAGTTTAAATTAGCATCTTATACCAAATGGCTTTGTCTCACGCATTCCTCTTTCAGGAAATTCAGGTTGGAGGAATGTGGGAAAGAAAGGCCAGTGTCCCTTAATTTCTTGGGTATTTTTTTACCCTTTTTTTTAAAACACAATTTGTTTTCCAGTGCAGGAGGAAATGTAATCAAAGCTGTATGTGTGACTTCTGCTCACTTGCATGGTGGTGATTTGTTCTTCTGCTTTTTACTAAAGATTTTATAAGGCTTGCTGCATATTCTTTAATGAAGCATCTGGTTCTCTGCAAGTTCCTTTTGATGGCTGGTAAAAATGTCTCCAGGGCATGGTATACATTAGATTCAGAGAAAGCAAGCTCTAGATTTCTAGACTGAAAATTACAGCTTCCAATGGATGAGAATAATTCTTTGTGTCTTCCCCCTTACTGTGTTTGTTTGAGTCCATTCCTTTGGACACCCATTTCCCTTTGCCTGTTTTGGACATTTCTGGGCTAGGAGCTGAGATACACCCTCAGTTTTTTCTGCCCTATGAACAAATATATCAGGTAATCATTCAATGGGTTTTAAATTTTTTTTTTCTACTGGTTTCCTGTACAGCCCCTCTTCCTGGAACAGGTTGCTTTATTGTGGTGCATGGTAGAGATGTAGCTATTGTTACCTGTTTTGTATATTTTCTGACTATTAGGCCATCTCTTGTAGTCAACAGAGAGAAATTGGCATATGTAGGGTATGATGCATCTGATTCTAAAAAGTCATCTGAAACAGGCCAGCTGAATTGCCAGCCAGAGATGAGTATTTGCCTCTGCCTCTTGGGAGGCACATCCAGAGTATACACTACAAAGTTGGTGCCTGTTCTGGGATGCTCATGGTTATGGGAGCAGGATCCTGCTCTGGTTGTCTGCCTTTGTAGCCAATATGCTTTCAAGTTGCCCTGTCTAACCTGCTCATGAGCTCTTCCATTTCTGCCATCCTGAATGTTGAGTTTTGGGCACGTCTCCACTGACTCAGTGCAACAGCATCAGCCCCTTAAGGCACTGGGCTCCTTGCTGCATCCCATGCTTTGCTTATGTGGAAGTTCTCTGACTTTAGAGGGTGTTACTGTGATGGCTCCTGTTTAATTTAGGAGTGTTTTATCTTTTTTGGTGGTCTGTTTCCATGGCTCTGCAGAACTTGAGCTACAGCATAAAAATCGCTGGCTTTAAATCTAATAAAAGCTGGGATAATGGGACAGCTGTAGGAGGGGCAGTTCCCATTGTGTCTTTCAAAATTGCCTGTAGTTTATTGACCGCAAGTTTCACCAAGAACTACTGCTGCCGTTAGATAATGAGAATTGAAAATTGCTGCTGCTGTTTCCCCAAGGTTTTATCTTGTGCCAGTGAGAAGGGGGTGTGGAAGGAAAAAGAGAGTGGGCAGTGGAAATCTGCGTAATTTCTTAGTTTGGGTCCAGATGGAAGTGGAAAACAAATTATTTTGTTTTTAAGGGTCTGAGTCCTATTAGTGAATTGTTCCCTCCCCTATGTAAATATGCACTCACATGCAAGCTATTCAGAGTGATTGTGACCCATTCTGCTGCCCTTGCGTTGCCTGAATTGAAGGCAAATTTTAGTTGGTTACTTTGTTACGTAATTGGTGGTTGTACCAGGGAATCTCCAACCAGCTGCCACGTGGAAAATGAGGCCTCAGGTGACCATATATTAATATGATTTGAGATTTCAAACAGAACCTGCTTCCTGCAACTGTGTGCAGAAAAATGTCTGTTAGTGAAGAGCATGTATCCCTTCTTTTCAAGGCTTTTCTTACTGTCTCTAGGTGCCTGTCTTTCACAGAAGGACCAAGGTGCAGTTTTTGTGCACTAGCTCCTGGCCAAACCAAGCTATCAGGGGCCATGTACTCAGACATGTGTTTTCCCCTGTCAACAGGAGCTGTATACACTGAACTAGGAGCCATTCATAATCCTGCTCTCTCCCTCCCTGTTCCGTGTCCAGCTTCTCACAAATCTGCTATTCATAGCAGACAAAGGTAAACCTACTACTGTCAAGGCTTTAGGGCTTGTCTACATAAGGAAATTACGATGCAGTAAGCTGGTGAGTTTCTCTCTATATGAACGTTCAGGGTTTGTAATGAAAGTGCAGGGAAAATTCACACACATTTACTGTGAGTCACTCTGCTGTGTGCAAACAAGCCCTTGCTAAATACTGATTGACTGAATTCCAGTGAAGGGAGACTTTTAACATAACCTTGAGTCGTCTGTATTCTGCTTTGCCCTTGACTGTAATAAAAAGGAATGTGGTCAATTTATTGCGTTTACGTTTCCAAGTGATCTCTGTGAAAGCCCAGTTCCCTTTTGGCACACAAAGCAAAGCATTACAACTCTGCTGGAAGTTTGTCTCTAATCTGTAGGCAGGGACTTAGCTTGCTAAGAGGATGCTGCAGGTATTTCTGCAGTGTCCTGTCCTGATGGGGCAGTTTTGCTCAAGCACTCTTGATCCTGCTGAAGCGTGGCCTGCTGGGAGCTTTCATTTCTGCAACCTGGATCTCTCTCTGTTTAAGAGAAACAGAGTTGGATTCCATGGGCTGCACTGCAGGTATCTGATCATTCTGGATTATCAGGCTTTTGCTAAAGTGATGTTTCCATTCTGGTGGACTTCAGAGTACTTTATAGATAGGTTGTGTACTTAGTGGGATAGAGAGGAGCAGTCAGTGTGTGTGGCTGGAGAAAGGAAGTTTGGACCAGGTATAGAAAGGTCTGTATCTGTACTGTAGAAATGGCAAGATTTCCCCTCTGCCTGGGATTCTGCAGAGGTAGATCTTGGCTGTTGCAGCCTCCTTGAGGAGATCTATCACATGGTATGCTGCTTGAAATACAATATATCTAACTTGAAAGGGTTGTTTGAGCTTTCTGGAATTCAGGTTTGTAGTTTCAGATAAATCTGTGTGTT